TTATTCAACAAGTGGTCTAAAACTTTTTCATTAGTAGAATTGTAATGAAAGTCTAGTTTTGGAGAATTTTCAATGACCAAAATTATGCTGAAAACAATGGATAGTTTGAGTTTTTCCAATGGAAAATAACATGGAATTTGTGGTTGTAAACTTTATCGCATTTCAATACCCGTCCCCTTTTCAGAATTTATTAATTCACTAGCGTAGAAGAAATTTTGATATATTCAAATTAATAAAAAAAAATACTTTAGAAAATAAGCCTAATATTTTTCAAAAAGTGACAAGGTGGGATTCTTATCAATAATATTTCAGATATATTTTCATATATTTATATTTTCAATTTCAATTTATTCATACATTCAAGCATTATGTTTACGAATATTATTAATAACAGTAGGCACCACAGGTGATGCTTATACCCGTACATATAGTAGTAAAATCATGTAGTGTATCATTAAGTTGTCAAGGAATCAAACCAGAATGAAATCATAAAAAATAAGTTGAAAAATAAAGGTTGAGGGGGATTCATGATGTTTTTTCTTTTCGAGTGAACAGGTTGGATGATATCATTTTATCACGGGGACTCTACATAAGAAAAATCATATTGTTTTCACAAAAACACGTTCAGCCCCAAAACGCCAAATACTAATTAGATATTGAGCTATGACCTTGAAATGACCTTGATCCATAAACACTGACATATGGATCTCTGGTCACTTTATCATTGGTCATTAAATAGGACTGTAGCCCCACAGTTGCCAACTACCTAGATATTGACCTTTGACCTTGAAATGACCTTGACACCAGGTCACCTAATCATTGGTCGTCAAAGGTCACAATTGTTCTCAATTATATTATAACTATTACTACTAACAATTATAACTCTTAAGTAAATGTTGCAATGAATGCTCACACATATCCTGTTGTACATCAATCTAGTGCAACTGCTACAGGTATCACTCTGACACGTATCTGTGAACAAATCAAACTTCTTTGATGTTGATGTTATGCAAATTGGTATCTTTTAATATGACGTACGTGAGATAAACCATCAATTCTAGGATTGTCACAACTTGCATTAATAAAATCAATTCCCATCTCATCACTATCACACCCATTACTACAAGATGATGTCTCTTAGATTTGTAGATCACTGTCTGCAAGCTATAAACTAAAAAGAATCAACTTCACTATCTGCTGCATCACTATAAATATAGAGGGTTGTCCTGGAAGTGATGCACTATATGCTCGTAATACTTTTTTATTCAAAATCAAAAGTCAATGATACTATTCCTATTTTACCTATTAATGATTTTTATATATCCGAATAACCATTATATAAGTTTTTGACAAAGTAAATAATTGTAGGGCTCACACAAGGATTAACTTTTTGAAGACTTTTTCGTACTGGTGTAGACTCTCCTGCTTGCAAAGCAGGGGCGATGAATTGAGATTTTTCAGTCGAAACAAGAAAACAAACATATAATTATTTTTTCTTCAACAAATAAAAGTTAAAATTGAGTTTACCTTCGTATTTTTTCAAAACATCATTTAATATGAAAATGCTGTGAACAAAGTTGATCCATGTGTGAGCCCTATAATTATTTACCTTGTCAAAAACTAATGAAATGGTTATTGGTATATTTAAAAAACATTGACTATATAAAATAGGAATAATATCCTTGACAACAGTAACTTTTTAATTGAAAACGCATTTTAAGGTCATAAATATCCAATTTTTTACCATAATTGTTTTTCACAAAATTACCACCCCCGAATGAACTATCATTACACATCAATATCAAATTTGCATCTTACTTTGTATACTTACAAGTATTAGTTTAAAAAAATGTATATTTTTCAAACTCATCTTTTTGACGGTCGCACCTTGGTGCAAGCCGTTTAGCCCTTTCGTGTCACTATTTTGACTGCAGACAAGTAAAACTGAATAGACAATAGATCAATCTAAAATGACTATGGGTCAATTCAAAGTAAGCTACCACAACATAGGTTTAGCCTAACTAAGCCACTTAGAAAGCAATTTGGCACACACTACTTATAGTATTCACATAGCAAATATGAACAAAATCGCTTCACTACTTTTCAAGTTATAGTAAAATAGGTTAAAATGGCGGCCATTTTCCATTTTTTAAAATGGCCACCTTCTACCAAAAGTGTCTTTCGACAGTGTGCAATGTTTATAGTATTCACATACCAAATATGAACAAAATCGCTCCACTACTTTTCGAGTTACAGCAAAAATCGTAAAATAACGAGTAAAGGCCGCCATTTTTCAAGATGGCTGCCATATATGTGCTTCTTTAATATCTACATTTCTAGCTTTATTAATGTCCTATATAATTTTTTTACATCTAAAACATATTGTTATTACAGTTTTACATATTGCACCTAAATTACTGTAAATTCGGCACTAAAATGGCCGCCATCTTAAAATGAGGGGCCATTTTGAAAATCGGCTTTCGAGCAGAACTTCTACCCCCATAGGGTATATGTGTACAAAATATGAACAAAACTGGACCAACGGTACTTGAGTTATTGCCCGGATGGACGTTTGGACGGACGGAGGCGTTCCCTATATCCCACCGAACTTCGTTCGATGGGATAAATATTGATGAAAACCAAAGATATGAATAGTAGAATGAATACAAGGTAGAATATGTCAAGATGTCACCACCTAGTTGCTCAAATCTGAAACCTAAAGACGGTCCTGAAGTCAGATTTGAATTTCTGAGAACTTGTAGATGATGAAAAGACCTTTTTGATCTTTTTTGACCTTTAGAAGGTCATTGAAGGTCAACTCTTAAGTCAGATTTGAACTTCTGAGAACTTGTAGCCTTATTTATTGTTAAAAATATTGTTTTCAGACTTTCATTTCAGCTAAATTATTTGAAATATCATATTCCTTATTGTATCAGGCGAGGTCCTCTTCTTTATCATTATATTCAATCTTATCCCTTATAGTTGAGGTCAAATCTGTAGAATAACACGTATATATACTTATGATATTTTGCAAATGCGTGGAAAAAAGCAATATCTGTGGAATACATAGAATATTCCCGCCCCCCTCCTTGGTTGGGCCCAGAAAAAAAATTGGGTGCAAACAAAATTTGGGCAAAAAAGGCCCAAAAAAGTGGGCCTTTTGATCATTACTGGGCTTTATTTTTTTAATTTCAGGCCAAATTTTGAAGAAAATGGGCCTCAAAATTTCAAAATTTAGGCCCACTTTTCGGTTTTGGGGGCCCAAACTTATTTTACGCGCAAGCACGGAAGTTTTTTCCTCTGACCTGAAATTTGGGCCCCCCTTTCCCAGATCTGCCCCTGAACACAAATGTGACGTGCATTGTTACATGATTGCTTACATGGTGATTTCATGACGTCACAAATATAGAAATGATTAATGTTTTGGCTATAGTTCAAATCACAAAATAAAACTGAATGTTGTTTTGAAATGCTTTGTAAGATGAACTATTGGATGATTTTACCTCAACTATGGGATAAATAGAACATCCTATGATTTTTTCGTGATATCATTTTAATCCACTCATTGATATCAATATCTGCACTCATACACTATGCTCACTCGTCCAGATGTCGATATCAACTCATGAATAAAAATGATATTACTCAGCATCATAGGATATCCTATACATATTTATTTTATCACAGATATTACATTTGTCCACTGATTTGAAAACTCCCGCCAATGTGACATGTATTGTTGTGATGATGGCGTCACGTGATATGAATGAATGTTGTTCACTGTGGTTGTTGTGAAATGTTTTATTATTGAACTATGGGATAAATAGAACATCCTATGAATTTTCATGATATCATTTTAATCCACTCATTGATATCAATATTCTGCACTCATTCTCTACGCTCACTCGTCCAGATATTGATATCAACTCATGGATAAAACCTGGGAATACTAAACCATTCCAAGATAAAACTGATATCTCTCAAAATTATAGGATTTTCTATACATATTTCATTCCATGGAGTATAAGATAGGTCACTAAATAGAAGGCAATGTTGATTTCAAACATGTGATATTGATTTATTGATTTACATCGGAGTTGTTAACGAATGCAGTAAGACATGATGATTCCAAAATACATAATGCATAGAATACAAAGCCTCTTTGTTTACATTATTAGGGAACCATACCATCATGCACTCACTCACTCATTAAGCTACATACTCACTCATTCATTGAATGAGTCACCACATGCCATCACAACACTCAATCATACATGTGAAGGAACTTACTATCAAATCAACCCCTCTTTGAACGAGGCACCCATGTGCTCATTCACCCATTTATTAAGCCACTAAATACTTACTCATTGATATATTCAAGAACATAACCACAATAAGACGAGTAGAAATAGCAAAAAACTGAAAACAAAATTTTGAGCACAAGACAGGAGAAACTATGGTGCATGTTAAGCTATGTTAGCCTAGCTTAATCATATAGCTTAGGCCCCTACATGTTAATTGCCTGTTTAGCATTAATAAAAAGTTACAGGACTAGGATAAGAGGCCTTTTTCTTAAACTCTTTACCACTCGTTACCACCTAGTGAGATATTGAGAAAGGGTTTTACAAAAATGATACTGAACTCTTATCATAAATAAAAAACAGTAGCTACAACAAAAAGTCAGTCACATTACAATAGAGAGCTTCCCAATATAAGTTATTTGGTCAACTTGTATGTAAACTTGTACTTCTAAATAAAAATACAAGGTGTTACATTACGAAGGCTTTTAGTAAAAAATCTCAAAATGTCAGATGTAATATAATGTTCAAATGCAAAACATTTGTAACTTTAAAACTATATGTATCATCACATGTCTGAGATCTCTTGGTTTAAAATTAAATAGGAGTTCCTTTATGACAAACAATTTATAGTCTCATCTCAAACTGACTTTGAAGATGAACATACGAAACACCCTGTACAAATACTGGAGAGGGTTTAATATGCAACCAAAACAGACTGGCTCCGGGAATTGCTAGCACAGATTGGCTTGATTAATGAATCAAAATGGTAGTCAAAGTGTTTGATTGGATACTTTAGTCTACTTTACATATTCAGCTTTGGTGGTGAACTTGTACTTGTACCCACTGGCACTTAGATATGGTCTTTGTGAGAAAATACATTGAGCCAAGTCAGTTTCTTGATGCACTCATCCTTTATTAGGTGTCTTCATCCACCCAATATATGATTTGTGTCATGTCACATTTGAAACTGTTCATTAGTTCTTGTTTGGCTTCCAGAGCAAATTGTTGAGTTACTAATCATTTTTTAGGAGTCTTCAGCCTTGCTATCAATTTTAGTGTCATGTCACATTTGAAACTGTTCATTAGTTCTTGTTTGGCTTCCACAGCTAATTGTTGAATTACTAATCATTTTTTAGGAGTCTTCAGCCTTGCTATCAATTTTAGTGTCATATCACATTTGAAACTATTCATTAGTTCTTGTTTTGCTTCCATAGCAAGTTTTTGAATCATCCGGCCTGCCTTACCCACAACAAATGACTGAAAATACAAAAATACACTTTTAATCTTTTCACTTTGTAAAAGGATCCTTTAATTGTGTTATTAAAAAAGTTTTAAAATTATAAAATTGCTGCACAAGTGCACTATGTAGACTATGTGCCACTAATTTAAAAACATTTGCTATTAAATATTTAGAACTAGTATATAGTTCAAAGGACTGGTATATGTGTGATTTAAATGAAAAATAAAAATCTATTGGAGGTGGCATATCATGTCAAGTCTGTTGAAAATGAATATTTATTCCATAGTTAGCATAATATTCATAGGATAACATGTGGAAATAAAAATGGTATTTTTGTAATCAGTGGTAAAATATGATATTTTTGACAAATTTTCACTTAACCATAGCATACGGTTTTTTAGCCATGACATACGGCGCCGTATGCGATGGTTTATGGATTTTTGCTACTTCAGACTCAAAACGAGGCTAGGTATCAACATCGCCGGATCGTTTGGAAAATTCGAATTAAATCACTTAATTTCCGACGATTCTGATAATGACTTTAACTATGGAATAAAAAGAACATCCTATGATTTACTCGTGATATGATTTTAATCCACTCATGGATATTGATATCTGCACTCTCTCGCTACGCTCGTTCGTGCAGATATCATATCCATTCGTGGATAAAAATCATATCACTCATAAATCATAGGATATCCTCTATGAATTCGATGGCTGAACTGTTACACTGAAAATGGTGAAAGTCATAACTAACCAGTGAGCTTGTAAAAGTTGGAGAGAGTGATGACTCACTACATGACGTTGCTTGTAACAGTTGGTGAGAGGCATGACTTACCACATGAAGTTGCTTGTAAAAGTTGGTGAGAGTCATGACTTACCACATGACTTTGCTTGCAACAGTTGGTGAGAGTCATGACTTACTACATGACGTTGTTTGTAAAAGTTGGTTAAAGTCATGACTTACCACATGATGTTGCCTGTAACAGTTGGTGAGGGCCATGACGTACTACATGACATTGTTTGTAAATGTTGGTTAGAGTCATGACTTACCACATGATGTTGCCTGTAACAGTTGGTGAGGGCCATGACGTACTACATGACATTGTTTGTAAAAGTTGGTTAGAGTCATGACTTACCACATGATGTTGCCTGTAACAGTTGGTGAGGGCCATGACGTACTACATGACATTGTTTGTAAATGTTGGTTAGAGTCATGACTTACCACATGATGTTGCCTGTAACAGTTGGTGAGGGCCATGACGTACTACATGACATTGTTTGTAAAAGTTGGTTAGAGTCATGACTTACCACATGATGTTGCCTGTAACAGTTGGTGAGAGTCATGACTTACCACATGACGTTGCTTGTAAAAGTTGGTGAGAGTCATGACTTACCACATGACGTTGCTTGTAAAAGTTGGTTAGAGTCATGACTTACCACATGACGTTGCTTGTAACAGTTGATATTCATGATGGCTCTTAGCAACCCCTCTTCCATCTCCCACATCACTATCTCCTAAAGAAGAAATACCATATTCATTCAATGATACAATTATTGCTTAATCATGATAACACATTTTCTAAAATACAACTACTTTGGTACAAGAAATATCTACATGTTCGACACTAAAATTGCTCAAAATCATATCTATGTTTAAGTGTTAAAATCCTCATTTTCTCAGAAATTGAGTCTCAACAAGTAGGTTCATGTGGGATAGTATTGGTAGAGTCCATTTTCAATAGTAAGAATAGGACATTGGGGTTCCTTTTAGAACTTTTTGTTGGGATTGTCCTGTTCCAAGACCAAAGTCATAAGGAGAGGCTGGACAGTATCAGGGAACTGTGACATCCCTAATATATAAAGTATCAACAAAATTGATCTACTACTCTTCCAGTTATCGTAAGATGGCCACCTTCTAGACATATTTTTATAGGTCATTGTACTGTCAACAAAATTACTCTACTACTTTATATATGCATATCAAAGATATAAACAATATGAGACAAGACAGATAAGATGAACAAATGGACAAAAGAATGGCTTCTTTTATACTAGTTCTGGCCACATTATACTGACCACATCTATACTGTAGGGTATCTCCTCTGGCAGATGGTCCATACATTTCTCCCAGACACACATCTTAGCTATTTCTGCAGGGTTTTGATCTGTCACCATTGAACTGTGGTAATGCCAGTTTCCTGGTGTAGCCACATTAAACATAAAATCCTGTAAAAGAATAAACAGTCTTTAATATAATGTATATGTACAAGAATAGGTAAAACATCGACTCCCACCAAACATAACATAGTTTATCAACTCACTCGTCATTTTGAACAAAACATGATAGAAAAAAACATGCTGATTGAATTTACCAGCCATTTTGAGATTTCCGATGTCCCTAAGGCATCAGCATAATAAAATTTGAACCAAATCTTTTAATTGGTACAAGGTTGACCGTTTGGTATTTGGGTTATTTTTTCAAAAAATATGGTGGCCAGAGGTCATTTGCCCATAAGGCATAAGCCTATAAAATTTGAACCCAAACTGAACACCAGAATGAATTAACAGATGGATGGACGACTCCTCTATATTCCTCCTGAACTTTGTTTGGCAGGATAATTAACACTATCAGTTATCACACGTTTCAGCATGTGATACGGGAAATATTCCACGAAAGGTAACACTGTATCATCCACGAAAGCGAAGCTTGAGTGGTGATACATCGTTACCCGAGTGGAATATTTCCTGTATCACATAAGCTGAAACGTGTGATGACGATTTTATCACATGTCAAGGAATTTTGAAGCATTTTGATTTGGTCAATTCAGTTATGATTGTGTTCAGTACCCTGTACTCCTGGTAACTATTATAACTTTTGATTTCGCTTTGAAACAATATGACGTCATACCATTGTATTCGTACTTGTTTGTGAATCAGTATGACGTCATATTGTTTTCCTTAGCTAGCAGTGATATAATCAGTGACGTCACATCGTTGCTATTGACTAGTGATACAGCCCACCGTATCACATGAAAATCAGTCATGTGTCGTGTGATACGGAATATACATCATCACAATTGACCAATCAAAATGCTTAGACACTCCTAATCATGTGATAAACACATATCTCAATTATTTCTGGCTGCATTAACACAGGCTGGTATCGAAAAATTTGTCCGCTGTGACGGAGCGTGCTATTTTGCATAGAATCTCTAGGAAATCCACACAATTTATTTTTTTACTCATATGTTTTACTATATCAAAGAAAATTACTGACTCCATGCAATGGATATATCATTTGCGGGTAACTTTAAATTCTGTTTGGAGTCCAACAACGTTATGAGTAAAAGCTATTGAAAACGGCGTCGGAGTATCATACTCCAAAATGTACCATTTCTTTTATTTCTTTTTAATGGTACAATATAGCGACACGATAATATTTACATATGTTTTCAGCATAACTCTGAAGGTATTAATGAGATCTTTATGTATTGGGTATTTTTAATTTTTTTGATAAAAAATAATAATTAATTTTTTTGTCCGCTGTGACGGAGCAGTTTCAAATCTGAAATGCGTTAAGAATTTAGATTCATAATATATTTCTTTAGAGGAGCGAGCGTGTCAAATCTCTTTCGTAAAGTATTCTGAAAAATGAAACGTAATAAAAGTACACAATTCAAATTCTGAGATGTATATACGACCACTCTTTAAGCTTCTTTTCTCAGTTTGTACTGCAATCCAACTTATGATTGGTAACTCATGAAAATGATAGTCAACTTCCATTTCAGTAAAGGGTATTTGCCTTTCGTAGTGCCCTTTGTGGATCCATCGGCCTGTCATTTTTTACGGTAACTTCATTATTTAAAGTAAAATGATTTGCTGAAGATGAAGCTAAATACATATAATGGTATGGACTGTGAATTGTTCTACCCTCTTTATTCGTTCCAAAAGGTAAGTTGAATGTATCTTGAAATACGAAAATGCAAAATTTGATTTTAAGATCGTTCTTTATTTGACTAAGAGTTATGGCTATCTGATGCAACTACAGTAAAATATGTGTACAGTGAACACATATGGAGCCCAAAAATGTGTTCCCAGTTGGTATAGATGTTCACTCCATAGAGGCAATTTCATACAGAAGTCAGAGGAATATTTGATAAGAAGAGGTGGTCACTAGAGAAAGATATTCATTGATACAGGTTTTACAGTGCAGCACGTTTACAAAGACTTTTTTTTTATAATTTTAGTCTATGCAAAACGATGAATTTCATGAATTTCAAATAATTGCAAATTAAATCTGTATTGGGATCATCTTATATACAGTAATATAATATTATGTGGTAAAAGGTTATACATCTGTCGGCATGCATGATGTCTGTGCGCTATTTCGAATAAGTAAATTCATATTAGCCCTATTTACACTACACGTGACATTTCAAGACGTCTAGGCGAAAACGTATTAGAAATATTATGTTGAGTTTACATCATGTTGATTTCAGTACAAACCTCCGAAAAATACTAAGAGTGGTCGTTTTTATATCTCAGATTTACATTACCCCATATCTCCAAGAGGCTGCTCATCATTATTTAGGAAAGTGATTTGTGACGTTCTCTCTTCTAAGGGTACTTTTAAAAGATATAATTTGAATCTTAAATTCTTAACGTAGTTCACAGTTAAAACTGTAAACATTATTTTTTGTAAAAAATATCAAAAATACCCAATACATCAAGATATCATTAATACCTTCAGAGTTATGCTGAAAACATATGTAAATATTATCGTGTCACTATATTGTACCATTAAAAAGAAATAAAACAAATGGTACATTTTGGAGTATGATACCCTGGCGCCGTTTTCAATAGCTTTTACTCTTAGCGTTGTTGGACTTCAAACAAAAGTTAAAATTACCCGCAAATGATATACCCATTGCATGGAGTAAGAAATTTTCTTTGGTATAGCGAAACATATGAGTAAAAAATAAATTGTGTTGGTTTCTTAGTGTTTCTATGCAAAATAGCACGCTCCGTCACAGCGGACAAATTTTTCGATACCAGCCTGTGATTAAATATTCAGATATACAGGGTGATCATTAAGTTCTGGGAATCGGTCTGCCATTTCAAGATTTCTCAACTATTTAAGTTTAAATTTTCAGCAGGTGTACATTGTATAAATCTGAATTGACAGACAAGGTTTCATATACATATGGCTTCTACAGTTTATTTTATTGTAATTATAAAAAAAAGTAAAAGTGGTCCGCGGGTCAGAAAATTTTGACTGATGTTAATCTGAAAATGTCCTACTAACTAAAACATATTCATCTTGCCTAGATAGTTGCATCAAACTACTTGTACTGGAGGCAGACAAGTACTCTTGAAATCATTTATTCAAAAGTATTCTTCAGTGCTGAGAAGATAATATCTTATAATGGTTTCTATTAGCCTGGACGCACATGCATTGTTGACAAACCTTGTCCATAAAGACGTTTTACAGTCCTCCCTTTGGTAGCTCTTGAAGATTTGCCCAAGGCTTTGAAATCAGTCCCTTATCAGAATCACACCTATGGCCTCTCATATGATGCTCCCATACCCCAAATGTAGTGAAGCCTTATGGTGCTTCATCTGGCGAATAGTATATGGTGAATTTGGGGCATAAACAACTTGTGCGAACCCTAATTCTTCAAGAATAGTATGACTTTTTTGAGGAGTGGGAAGGAGCAAAGTCATAATGGAAGATAAACTTCCCGCTATTTGGAGTCATGATTGTGACTTTGAGAGTATAACGAATAATAATAAAATAGAGCAAAGTTCACTCTAATATTACAATACAGATGTTACTTTAGAAACTAAAGTCAGAAATATTTGAAAACATAAAAAATCACAGAAATATGTCCACCAAATTTAACCATACTTTTGGATCAAGTAAAATAAAAATGAATTCAAATTTTGCTTGACTCGCTATGCCATTTTATATTTGTCACGTTGCTATAGTAACAATAATAATCCATTGTGACATCATATGACAATGAGACTGTTTTATTCAACCCAAAATTACATTCCTCATTTACCATAAAAGGTCCATGTGCAGTATGGCAAGTGCTTTTAGATAGTTATATCTTCAACCATGAGTACTTTCTGGGCATAAATACAGTGGTTTTTATTAAAACAATATGTTTTCTTTCAAGTGAAGTACCCATAAGGATAAAATTATCAATCAAACAATTCGATAAATTATTAATAGGGAACCCAGTCAACATTTTTTTTCAAAATGTTGAACCTATTTACTCAAAAGAGGATCATTTTCTGGTTCTTAATCTTATTGCATGAAAAGATTATTCAGCAAGGGTCTAAAACTTCTTCAAAAAAAGAATGGTATTGAAAGTCTTGTTTTGAAGATATCAATTTTCGATGACCAAAATTATGCTGAAAACGATGGATAGCATGAGTTTTCCCTATTGGAAAATAACATGGGATATGTGGTTTTTAACTTTAACGCATTTCAATACACATCCCCTTTTCAGAAATTGTTAATAGAGTGTAGAAGAAACTTTCGATATGTTCAAATTGAGAAAAACAAGATCCTCTTTTTAGAAAATGAGCCTACCATTTTTAAAATAGTGCCAATGTGTGGTCCTAATCCATAATTTTTCAGAGAGTTGGATTGATATTTTACTAGCATGGGAACTTCACTTGAAAGAAAATATATTGTTTAAATAAAAAAAACACTGTATTGATGGCCAGAAAAGTACCCATGGTGAAAGATATGACTGTCTAAAATCACTTGCCATACTGCACATGGACCTTTCAAGTGAATTTGTTGAAATAAATGAAATGACAGATAACAAATTCTAGAACTTAGTGATCACCTAGCCTTGCCCAAGTCGGTATTTTTTAATTATCTGATCTTGAATTATTACCGCCTTGTACAATCCAATGCATCATCAGGGGTATCGCAAAACCGTATTGATTGACAGATCGCATGGACACGACGTGTGACTTCAGGCTGATTGACCAATGATGAGCATAATAATGAGCTAACGCTGCAGGGCCGTCGTTGATTGGTCAAATTTACCGACATAAACATTGAGTCGGTTAAGCACGTGGCTTTCTCATTGGTACAAGGCAGTCATAATAGAAATCAAGATAAGTAAAACAGACCAACTTGGGCAAGGCTAGTGATCACCCTGTTTGATATATTATTAGTCATTGAAAAACAAACTAACCCTCAGCTCATCAACCCCCTCTCCTGTAGTTGAAGACACAATGAACACTTTCTCAAACGTTCCCCAACCTCTTTTGTTCTTGATCAAATTATTGATTTCAGATTGTTTATTATGTTCTGTTATCCAATTAGAGTTCATCTCTTTGGAAATTACTGCATTTCTAATCAATTTACGCTCCTCTTTGAAGCCTTTGGCACTTTGAGATTGCTCCAGAAATGGTCTTGTAGGATCATATTTTTTACTTTTGGGTAGTGGTTTGAAAGTTTGCTTATGTGAGGCTGTCTTTATTGACTGGTTGGTTTTGTTGTCATTTTGCAAGTTCCCTCTAAAGTCCATGTCATTTCTTGTGTTAACTTCATTTTGAGTTACCTCATCAATCGGTCCATGCAACTCAATTCTTTCATTTTGAGTTACCTCATCAATTGGTCCATGCAACTCAATTCTTTCATTTTGAGTTACCTCATCAATTGGTCCATGCAACTCAATTCTTTCATTTTGAGTTACCTCATCAATTGGTCCATGCAACTCAATTCTTTCATTTTGAGTTACCTCATCAATCGGTCCATGTAGCTCAATTCTTTCATTTTGAGTTACCTCATCAATCGGTCCATGTAACTCAATTCTTTCATTTTGAGTTACCTCATCAATTGGTCCATGCAACTCAATTCTTTCATTTTTACATGTATATCCCATAATATTGACATCAGTCCTTGAAGAATCCTCAGATTCCTTATTCTTCAGATCATTATTATTTTTCTGTTTATTTCCACTTTCTAATGATTCAAGCTCATGTTTTAAATCTTTAATGAATTTATATGGGTCCTCCTTTGATTTGTGCTTCAGTTCTGATGGTGTCAGAATGGTGGTGCTGTCTCGATGACCATCTACAACACCCTCTGTTAGCAGTCGTACTATCTCCAAGAGCATGTGTTTAGATTTTAGTATATCTACCTGTAACCAGAAATAAACAGAAAAACAGAATTTACAGATAGGGAAACCAGTCATTTAGACATTTTTTGAGAGATTCTACAGTCATAATATGAGTATATACATTTTGTCAGTTAAAGACAGTTTTTACAGTCATGTATACATTCTTTTTCCAATAAGAGGCAGGTTCTACAGTCATGCATACATGTACTGTAGATTTGGTTAGTTAGACGCTATTTAATTAGGCGATTTTGCCATTTTTGGCATATTGGTGGCTATTTAATTTGACGGACACTAAGGCTTGGGCATTGCTCTAATTATACACTTAGTCTTACTGGAACAAAATACAAACTGTTATTCCTTCAATTCAACAATTAACTACATAGCAATATATATGAGTATATTGTATATGTATATCTTGCAATAATCACTGAAGCAATTCCCCGGGAAATGCTCAATTATATCGATGTTCGTTCAGTGTACTTTTATTTCAAAATGTGGCTGAACTGTACAGGTTAAAACCCATGTCTAATTTCTCTGCAAATTAGACTGTTTTTAACCAAAATACCAAGCGGTTTGAAGTCTTTTTAGAGCTAAGAAGTTAAGTACAAGCATTTCTTCAGCTATAAGGACATTGTGTATCATTCTGAAGCAAAACAGGCTGACGATTTCAAACTTTTATTTTTCTGTCAATTTTTGGTGATAAATTTTGTTTGAAACAAAATGACCTTCCCTGACATTTCCTGGCGATCCTTCTAAACTTGTGGTGAAGATGTTAATTGGTTTTTTTTCCCAAAATTCAAGCAGGCGCTAAATTAACCGGAGGTAGGATTAAGTCACTTAAGCCCTGTATACACTATGAATAAATTTTCAATCGTTTCAATTGTTTCAATCCTTTCAATCAGCTCAATCGTTTCAATGCTTGCATCATTTACTACGTTTCAATGCTTGCATCATTTCGAGCATATCAATTGATTTGCCTTTGAAATGAATGTAAAGTTGAAAGTTTGCGCCTGTTTTGCCGTTTCAAGCATTTCAGTCTAATGACCAATTCATAAGGAAATGGGCAAACGATTGAAAAGGAAAACGAACATGCACGTTTTTCCTTTCAAGGATTACGCCGAGCTTTTTCAAACATTTCAATCAATTCAATTGATATGCTGCTTGCGCCTGTTTCGCCGTTTCAAGCATTTCAATCAATTCGCATAAGGTGTTTTTTCACATTCTCTTTCATATCAACCATTTCAAGCAATTCGGCCTTTTCATCCCCGTTTCAAGAATTTCACCTGCCAGTGTATACACCCCTTTAGCAGAGTCGCATTGAGAAACATGAAAACAAGCTTCAAACTGACCTTGTTTATAATGAGAACTGTTCGTTTATCTGGGTACATATAGAGGGCTCTAAGGATCTCCTTATTCAAATGGGTATTTGTCCATTTGTTACTAGCATCTACCAATACACCTACTGTAAAATATAATAATTTATTTGAAAACAAAGTTATTAATTCTGCACAATATGGTTTGGCAACAACAAAAACCACTGACACTTTGAAACTTGTATTAGAATCATATTAAAACTGTACAAGTTTTACTTTATAGTCTTCATCTGTCCATTTTATGTTCCATGTGGTCATCTGAGCCAATACACAATAACAAACAAGCAAACAAACAAACAAACAAAAAAACAAATGAATATTTATATTACACATAATACATATATATTCCTCTAGCGTAAATAGTATTCAATAAATGTGCCTTAGAAAATTCAATCTTGGACGTAACAACAATTTTCCTCTTTGGTTTGTGTTGTTTCTTTCAATTAGCTCAGTGTAAGTTATAAACATTACAGATGAGGGTGGGTCCGCTAGGATATTAGAATTTGATGGTGATTTTAGCTCTCAATTACACTATGAATTGAAGCTAATGTTGCCATGTATTTTTCTACTTAAACAATTTTTTAATTGAGAAATAATATGTTATGCATCCTTTAACAAGAAATCATGATGATTTTAAAGAATGTGTTTTCTCGCAAGACTCATTGATAATGTTTGTATCTTTGTTATGATGAGCCCTACCAATATCAGCTTCCCCAATAGATGATGCAGGGTCAACGACACACTGGCGGTCAAGGTTATATCTTTTGCCCTCAGATTTCTTCACAACTCCAGGTGTATCCAAGAGAATCTAAACAAAAAAGGAAATTCCTGTAAATACTAGTAATCTAATATAAGCATTGTAGCATTTTTTGAAAACTCTGCACCCACCTGAAAACCCATTTGCAACAACTTTAATATTTTGTCAGTTTTTAATGAAATTGTTTTAGCCACTAGAAGCACTGTCTGCTTATATATTCTAGATATGTTTGCTTTGTGTTTGTGATAGTGATTGCTTTCTATTAAGTGCCTTTTTGAATACTATTGCACAAAACGTCATTGCTATTACTATTGCCATATCCCTATCACATAGCAATAGGGGAACTTATTAATGATCCGAAACAAAATCTTCTGGAACAAATTTTTTTTTATGAACTCATTTACAGTAGCAAAGTAAATTGTGCTGATGAAAATATAGACCTTTCCTTAATGATAATGATATCAAATCACTAAACGAAGAACAAAAAATAGAACTGTGGGTACTGGGCTCACATGGTGTTGCTCAAAAGTGAATGATGGCTAAAGTGAAAGAAAATAAAAAAACGGATATAATTTTTTGCCAATATTTACAATGCAGGACACTTGAAATCATTTGTAAAGCTAGGAAATGGGCCAAAGGTGAATTTTGCGAGAAAATAATAGTGGCCATTTTGAAAATAGGCAAGCTTTTGAAGCAGGAGTCACAGTTTTTTTTCTTTATTGATGTTGAACAAAAAGAATTTAAAACGGGAATCCTATCTACAGAGGATTTAAGAAGAGCCAAGTGTTGACAGACAGAGGTTTTAAAACTTGCCACTACTTTGGACTGACTGAGAGACAGATGGACAAATCAATTTTAATAGGCTAAGCAAATGGGCTCATAAAAGGCCCAAACATCCCAAAAATTGCAACAGTTTTTAAATTAGTCTTATATTATGTATTGATATCAGTTGAAAAACATATCAAAAGTATAGAAAAATGTATGCAGTGGACAAATATGAAATTTCACTTCCTAGGTACCCCCTACAGCCCTACCCCAAAATTGAGTATTGGTAGGAAACAATTTTTTCTTCCCAAATGGAATACTTTAGTCAAGTATTCAAGCTTTATTATGATAGATAACATATTCACAAATAATTAAAATATTATTTTAATCATTTTTGAGACCAGTAATTGGTCATTTGACCCCAAAGTATAACAAAATAGGCACAAAACAGGCATGTTATCACATATCTATTTAGATATTTTAGGATCAGTTTGTCAGAAAAACATGAAAAAAATCATGGTGTTACATATTCATATGAACTTCATATTTGGAGAGTGTCAGAATTCTAACGTGTATACTTAGGAAGAAAAAAATTACTTCATTTTCATCGTTTTGCCCCACCCACTATAGGGGAGACTGTAGTTTTTATGACTAACTCCCACAATGCATCACATTTGTGTTAGAGTTGACATCTAAATCGTTTATATAGGCTTGTCATCATCTAAAATACAAGTTTTGTGAAGGTTTATACCTTATTAGTATGAAAAATAGGAATTATTAGTTGCACTAGGTGAAATGTTAAGGTGACCTCACTTTTATTTGATGAATAATTACAAATCACCACTTTGATATTAGGGTATTAGGGTATTTGATAACTGCTATACTAGGCTTATCTAAATAAATAATGTAAGTTGTAGTTTCTGTGCAATTTAATATTGTTTAAATTAAAATTATTAATTACAATCCGCAATTACAAAATTTGCATATATTTAAATCCATCAGATAAATAAATCATCACATAGGAGTACATTACTATGGAACTATCAATTGGATGTATAATGCTGTAGAAACTAATTTATGGTTATTAAACGGAATTTAAACTGATAGAGCACATTTAAATCTCAGATATCTGGGGAGTCTTTCATTAATATAATTTCAGTGCGTAGGAATGATGGTAATTCTGTCTGTCAGGTTGGAAAACATTGAGTGTGCATGTGCTACATTCAGAATCGGATGCAGATATTGTGATTGTGAAAACTGTAATCCAAAGTGTCCAAACCTCAAATACAGTTCTCATACAGATCTCCTTGTGTACACAAACTTCAACATTTTCCTCAAACCTGAACCAAAAGCAGTAACCCAAGAAACAAAATGTTGGAATATAAATGAAATAAGATTGTCTTTTGTTTATCTTTTCTGGGGTGTGACACCGCATTCTGGTTATACCTGGCATAGACAAGAAGCTATCATTGAGGCAGATAAAAAAGATAGAGTTCTTGAGAAAACAAGCGGTTGTTTTTAAATTACCAAATGGGTCGTTTCGGTAACAAAATGTCTAAACGTCGAAGGTACGATTTTTCTTTTTTCTTTTTTTCACGCGTTATAGGCAGAATCCCCACGATGTTTTTTCTTACCATCGTGATCGTGTATCAGTATCATATGTTTTAGAAAATGTACATGTTTGCGCAAAAATAGCTCAGAAGACAACAGAATTGTTGATTTAATTCCTTATACTAAGTTACATAAACGATTTGGGTCAAAAGTGCAGATCTTAACTGTTTATCGAAATACCGTTTATGTAAATAAAGTGAGGAATTAAATCGATGATTCTGTTGTCTTCTGAACTATTTGTTCGCAAATATGTACATTTTTTAAACACATAATACTGATACAATTTTGTGATAACAATGTTGTGGAAATTCTGCCTACAACGTGTGAAATAAGGAAAAAAGAAAAATCATACCTTCGATGTTCCGACATTTTGTTACAACGTAATTAAGTGGAAACCAGTGAAATGCAAGCAACTCTGTCATTGCAGAGGAACATGCTCTTTTGTCAATTTAAGGTGGAAAAACGGTGAAACCCTAACTGAACTTAGGCTTCAAAAATTCTATTAAAAGAGAACAGCAAGATCTGAATTATTGCAGCCCCGTGTTCTTCCTCCAATTTCTGATATTTGTGCAAATACCTCCATTACTGATTATGAAAATAATGGTGACTAAATAATGAACACTGGCGGATCTGGGGGCCGCGCCCCCCCCCTTGGGTTACCCTTTGCATTCGTTTGACTTCACTCCTTAAAAGAGAGCTTCGTCTTCGTCTGTAGTTTAACTAGACTCTGCACGCAGGGTACCCTTGGGTGGGCCCAGAAAAAAATAGGGCCTGAAAAAGGCCTTAAGGCCCCGAAAAGTGGGCCTTTTTGGTCATTAGTGGGCCTTTTAAGGCCTTATTTTTTAATTACAGGCCACATTTGAAGATAATGGGCCTCAATGTTTCAAAATTTAGGGTTTTAGGGGCCCAAATTTTTTTTCCCGCGCAAGCCCAGATGTTTTTTTCTCAGACCTGAAATTTGCCCCCCCCTTGTTGGTTCCCAGATCCACCCTTAATGAAGTTTGGTGATAGACAAGTTTGTAACTGATTGTTGCCATATATGACGGTTAAGATTACAAAATTAAGGCAGCTTTTTGACAATGAACATAACGTAATCGAACCATGCCCTGTATAAAGACCCCGATAAAGACCAGGGATTTACTTTGTGTTACACTAGTTAACTCAGTAGGATTTATTAACGTAGAAACCTTTTCCTCATTAATTATTGAATTTCATCTTGAAATCCAATTCTTCAGTTGAACTTCTTCATTTCATTTCTCAATATCACTGTGTGGTTAAGAACACCTTAGTCAAAAGTAACAATTTTTCCTTAATACAGGGCGAGCCAAAAAGGTAACCCAAACAAATCTTAATAACTCAGTCCAGTCATCCTGCATGAGTTGAGTCTTGGTCAATGTATTATCAATCTACCCAATCTCAGTGGTCTATCTCTAGTGGTCACGATTTTATGGCCATTTTATACCATGCCATGAAATATGGGTGTCATGCCTGGAGGCCAACTTGAACGTATCGTGCGTAGTTGTTCAAATCAAGAGCATAAAAATTTTGTGTTATGGCTCTCATCTTCATTCTTATCTCTTGTTTTAATGTTTCAAGTGTTGCTAGTATAGAAGAAAGGTCCACAGATAAAAAAAACTTGACTTGGCATTGATGTCCAGTCAGTTAGGCACATTTCGATATTTTGAGCACAGTTTGTAAATGGCCATAAAATCGTGACTATTAAGGATAGATCAATGACACTAAGCAGAATGAAAGAACATTGAACAAGGTAATTGTGCCAAATATGATGTCAAACCCATGCTGAATGACTGGGTTATTAACAAACATTTGGTTGGGTTACCTTTTTTGGCTCATACTGTATTAATAAACTGATGACAGGGACAGGGATATTTAACATTTTGTTGCCTTTTCAAGGATATTTTTAGACCACTGATTCTACTTAATTTCTAACAAATCGTTCTCTGTTCTACCAGAAAAGGTATATTATATATCAAATTGAATTTAAAGGGAAAAACATTTGATAATTTAGCAGTTATCAACTAAAAGTAGGGCTTCCCCTATATTTCACCTGGCATTTGCTGTTTTTTTTTACTTTTTTTACACAATTCTTTCCTGAAAACATCAAAAAACTGATTTCAGGACAAAATAAGCCTTTACAAATAATTTAGTTGTGCTATTGAGTTCAAATATGACATATCTTTGAAGTAATTAATCAAAAGTAAGGTCACCCCAAAAGTGGGTGTGGTAAAATATTGAAATTTCAAATATTATTTTCACCCTTAATATTCACTTAATGACCCTGATACTTATCAAATACAATGGTCAGGTGTACAATAACCTCCTTGATTTTTTTCATGCAATTCAGATAAATTGATACAGAAATAGATACATTGTTAAATTAAATACGGGCTATTTGATGGCCTATTTTCGGATAATTGGGGCTAGAAATGCCAATTTTTGCACTCAAATAGTTGGTTAACAATTTTTAGTTGCTCTTATGTCAGTAAACTATCATAATATTACTCGTTTAGTTGACAAGAGCATTCTATTTTGAAATAAAAAAATATTTACAATCCCATACTCAAATTTGGAGGGGGGTACCTAGAATGTGACATTTCACATTTGTCCACTGCATATATTTTTCTATATTTTTGATATGTTTTTCAACTGGTATCAATATACAATATAAGCCTAATTTAAAAACTGTTGCAATTTTTGGGATGTTAAACTTCCATTTGCCTAGCCTATAAGTAAAATGGCTGAAAATAAAAAAACGGATTTAATTTTGCCAATTATTATGTAACAAAACTATTTCATACAACTACTCTCTACAGCGACATGGCTTTTTACAATGCATATATCTTTTATTGACTTTGAAACATGTCAGTTTCTCCGACATACACCCCCAAAATGCAATCTGATTTTCGACGCCGTTTCGGTGCCGTTTCGGTGCCGTTTCGGCACCAAATGGACTAACTAGTCCGGTAGCAAATTTTGGTGTCGAAAGGTTTCGGTGCCGGAAGGGTGTCGAAACAGTGCCGGAACGGTGCCGAATTGTTTCGATGGCGAAACGGCGTCGAATTATATTGGCTGTGTATGGGTCACTATACAGTATTTTACATGTTTTTTTGTCTACAGTATATAATACAGTCATCAGTTATATGTAAAATTATGAAAATAGTTACACCAAATATGTTATTAACATAATGGTACCATAGACTTACAAAAATTGCTACATATTATGGTACAAAATAGATGGATGTTAAACACAGGAAAATACAATAGGCTTACATACATACTATGCTACAAACTAGTTAAATGTCCTTATTTTGTCACAGTCTTAGAGGAATCTGGCAAGATCTTTTAGAATTGTAATTTTGCTGTTCATCATTTCTTTTATTAAAATGTTGGGGGGTACATTACTGATTTAGATTTCTTGGGCTAGTGTTTTGAAAAATATTGATCTTTGGCTTGAATAGGCAGGGCAGTAAAAAAAAATTAAATGCAATTCCAATTCATCTTCAATTTGGTTCATGTTACTTGCATGTACGCAGATGACACGTTTATCTCCCTAGATGGAACTCCCTCTTCCATGAGACAATGTATGCATATTTTTGATATTTTTCATGAAACATCAGGGTTAAAACTTAATAAAGAAAAAACATCAGCAATATGGTTAAGAAGTAAACACAACTCAAAAAAATTTTGTGAAGACATTCCACTCATATGGGAATCTAAGTTTAGGTTACTCAGGTTAAATATAACATCAGATCTTCGAAATATTTAATCCATTAATTTTAAAAACAAAATTCAGGAAATGCAAACTGTAATAAGTAGATATAAAAAAAGAAACTTGTCTATACTAGGAAAGATAACAGTTCTTAAATCCTTTGTTTTGCCTTAAGTAGTACATTTATTTCTAGTCTTGCCCTAATTGTCGTGTGTAAATCATAAGAGAATAAAACAACTGTTTACTTCATTTATATGGAATTCTGCAGTAGCAAAAGTAAGCTTCTCACAATTAGTTCAAAATGTTGAAGTTGGAGGTTTGAGATTGTTTGAACCAACGCTGTTTGAACAATCCCTCAAACTTACATGGATCCAAAAACTTCTTAGAGATGGCTCTTGGCAAGAAACTGCCTTAAAAATTATCAATGTATAATCAAGAAATGAGCTTTTTAGGTATGATTCAAAATCACTTCAAAAATTGAGGAAAAAATTAAAAATAATTTTTGGAGAGATTTTGTTCATTTTCTACGAATTTACACAGAAAAGAAAGAAAAAGAAGCCGAACATAATACTCAAATGAGAGCTCAACAAGCCATGTGTACTACATTGGGGGGGGGGGGGGGGGGGAAATGTTCAATATATATTACAAAATACAAAGGTTAACAATGAAGTGATTGTACTACAAGATGTATTTCAAAATTCAAAAAGACTTCTAACACTATTAGAATTCAATGACAAATTCCACACTAATATTAAAAACACTATTCCAAAATCTTGGCTAAGAGATGTCATGGATAATAATCAGAATATCACTGATTATGAAAGAAACAAAGCACATATCAAAGCGTTTCTTACTCAGTCAAAGATATGTAAATATAAATTGGGAATTTGTTCAGAACCAAGAAAAGAATTCAAAATATATAGAAGGATGGAATAAAGATCTAAATTTGTCACTCAATCAAAATGATAGGAAGGAGATAAATAGATTTAACAAACTGAGTAACTATGAACCAAAGTTATCATCTTTCACTTACAAAGTCCTTCATACTTTTTAGCAACTAATACATACTTAAAAATGTGTGAACTCATGTGTGGTCAAACAATTGCATTTTTTGTAAAGCAAATCCTGAAACGATTTTCCATCTTCTGTATGTATGTACTATTGTAAGTGCTTTATTAGATGACATTAAACAATGGCTCCCTTTAGAGCTCACATTGCTATGTACTAAACAAAATGTATTGATAGGACCTGAGAGTATAAATGAAAAAACAATCATCCTAAATAATGTGCTATGTATTTTTAAAAGGTATGTTTATTTTGTGCATATATTCTATGCTAAAACCAACACTTAAAGGTTTTATAAGTAATGTGAAGGAACATTTTATTATGGACAAACCAGTTGGCAGAGGTGATGAGCGGAAAATCATGGAAGCAAAATTAAACAAATGAAACTGATGATTTTTCCCTTAAATAAAAAAAATTGCCAAAGGTATAAAATTCTTAAACACTAACATGTAACCAATACTGTATTGTAATTGTTTTTTTGCAATTGCTTTAAAATGTTTTTCTTCTCTGAAATAAAAAAAATAAAATAAATAAATTGCAATTCTTTGTGAATAAGGCCTCAATACGTATAGACAAAGAAATCTTTTGGAAAAAGGTCCCTGGATTAAAAACGCAAATTCACAAAGCAAAGAAAATTTACAATGGAGTGTCTTGACATTAAATCCTTTTATACAATGTCTCACTTTCAACTAATTGAGCCCCTTTATAGACTTCTACCTTAATGAACATCTGAAAGCAATATTTGTTCAACAATGGACAGCAGTGTTTTGTCTTTGAATCTGCAGCCAAGATGTACCAGGAATGGATGGATAATGCTATGAAATACAAAGTTCTGGATAATATTAGTAATATGAGAATTTCAAATAAATTGTCATAGTATTAATCCTTATGGAGTGCTGAAGTAATACGGGGAGGAAAGAGTTTTACAACACAATTGTGACTTCAGTGTCAAGACAGTTGCAGGATATATTTTCATAAAGTCATTCAACAATCTTGTAGCAATTTCATCTCACAAAAGGAAATCTATTGAAATTATAGCATTTTTATCCTTTCTTCCTGGACACCCTGAATGTACAGTATCTGCTTATATACAAGTATATCCAAGAATTGAGAGGAATTCGTAAGCTCTTCAACTTTTTTTCAATCCAATTACTCAATCTGTATTTGAAATATGTAAACCATTGATGTTGTCATGAATAAATACATTTCACAAAAAAACTTCCTCACCAATTGTGTGTTACCCTCTGTCAAAACTGCCTTTGTCTTGTTTCTCGTTGTATGAACTTTGGCAGACACTGCTGACACCTGGTGAAAGTAATGTAAGAGGTTCATTGAAAACCAATAACATACAGGCGTGTACTGAGGTTCTAGGTACATAACATGTCAGAATACTGTAAGGTGTACCTAGGGATCATAACAGATATTTTTGTATCTTTTCTGCTGTAGCCTAGCTCAGTCATACACTGTATCTATCCCTGTCCCGCTCTATAACATGGGGAATATAAAATTTTGGAGGCTTAGAAGATAAAATGTACCTAGTGTTAGATACAGGGTCTATCCCTCTGGAAATATGTGCATCTCCCTCCCTCCCTTGCAGCAACATATATATGTATTAATCATTTAAATTTTGAAGGAAATCCTGGGAAATAATTATTCTTATTCAGTTCACTTCTTGAAACTTGTAAATATACAAACATGAGACTTGTTCTGTCCCGGCTAAGTTATATTTCATATTTATGTTTTTTAACTTGTTTGCATTTTCATGTTTTTGCCTGAGATATACATACTCTCCATCCCATAAGTTTGTTAGTCAGTGTTGATTTGCCAGCATTAGGGGCCCCAATGATGGCAACGCTCAGGACTCTTGCATCTGGAGGTTGGTCTGGATGTAGAAGTGCTTGTCTCCACTGTTCATCTAAATATACAGTACACATGTTATAATAAATGTCACATGTGGGTTTTCCCATATGCATTCTGAGTATTTTATGTGAAGAATAAAAAACATTTGATAAAGCATGTAGTATATAGAGGATATTCTATGATTTATGAGTGATATGATTTTTATCCACAAATGGATATGATATCTGCAGGAGTGAGCGTAGCGAGTATGTCATGGCTTAAAAATCGTATGCTATGGTTAAGTGAAAATTTGTCAAAAATATCATATTTTACCACTGATTACAAAAATACCGTTTTTATTTTGATATGTTATCCTATGAATATCATGCTAACTATGGAATAAATGTAGTTATTTAATAGCAAAAATCATAAAATAGCACACATAAAAATGAACAACATTTTCAAAATGGTTGATCACTAGCCAAATTGTCATCAGAAAGTGTAACATGCTTCTAAGTAGGCACATATAAAATTTCAAAATTGCACACATACCACACACATATATATGAGAATGGTGGCCGCCTACTAGCTAAAGTGTCATAAGACAGAGTGCCATGCTTATGAGTATTCACATATCAAAGGATAGGTATAGATATGGGGATCTGAATTAAACAATGTTTACCATTTATTGAAAACATTCTGTAAAAAACATGGTCCTTTATGTAATGTTGACTGATTGACAACAATTTAATGCGAAAAATATTTAGATATATTTAATATGACTGTTTTTGTTAACATTTTTTAGTGCAATTGTTTTTTGTTCCTTTCTACCAATTCTTGAGAATGAAATAAAATGTCTCTCTGAACCTTGTTGGAACAAATAGCATATACAACATTTTCTTAGACCTCTCAATACTATAATTATACAAAGGAAATTTTGGTTGATTTAACAGAAAGTATGCAAAAAATTTAAACAAAACCCCCTAAAATAGATAAAAATGAAGATAAACCTTTTATTTCATGAACAAGATACTTTTTTAAAATCAACCAAACTTTCCTTTGTACAATTACAATATTGAGAGACCTAAACACATTTTGTTATGTCGTTTTGTTCCAATGAGGTTCGGATATATGTTTCATTTCATATACATATGATACCAAGAACAAAATAAGTGTCTGATGTGTTTTCTTAAACAATATAGAGAAAAGTATATATATATATTTTTCAAATTATAATGTTATCATTCAAAAGACTGGTTTAAAGATTCTCGCAATCTTTATCCAATCAGCGTTTGCGAGTGTGTCGGCTCACGTATAAAAGGCGAATCCAACTCAAATCCATGCAAGGGTGTATGAGGTACTCGAGGAAAGGGCTCGTGAAATCTGAATTTATATGCACATGGTCAATGTTTACACATGTTTGGAGTTATTGAAGAAAATGTGATATGGGTGTGGTTCCGAATTTGAAGTCATTGCTGGAAAATATGATTTTAATACGTGAAATTATATCTATAAATATAGCACTAAAAATAACAGTACACATAAAGTACATGTATGATTGTGTTCAGAAATGTTTGAAACCCTTACGGAAAATTCTGTCTGCATTTTGTCACCATTGCTCTTTCTCATGTTTCTTCCCGCATTCTAGTGCTGTTTGAATGAATATATTAATTAATGTATTTCTAACTAAAACATATCACTTTTTTTTTATAAACCACAAACATTTAGATCATAAAAAAATTATTCAATACTTGAGTGAGCACGATATGCAAGGGTTACTAAGTTGACACAGTAAATGACCACTGATATTGTGTTAGGCCATGCACTTTCATAGTGAAGTGACTAATTGGTTTATGTTTACGTTTTAATGTGTTTTGGGTTCCTTGTTACAGCAAGGGGGGCCAGTAAAGTAGACTAATATGTTTGCATGGCAAATTTTGATCGAATATGTGAGACACTTTAAGAGAATGTGTGTTCAAAAAGTTCACCATATCGATACCACTCCTTTGTACAAATGAGAAAAGTAGAATAACATGCATAAAAATGGTGGCCATTTTGAACCTACTACCCAAATTGGCATTAGATAGTGTGCCAAGCATGTGGCATTCACATATTGAATACAAATGCGTAGCCAGGGGGGGGGGGTGCGATGGATGCGATCGTACCCCCCCCCCCCCATAACCAATAAACAGATAACCATGACATAGAAGAAAAGCTTTTAAATGCTTTTTATTTGAAGCTTCTAGCTCAATTTTAAAGGAAGTTGCATCAATTTTTGTACAATTCAAGATATTACCCTTAGAAAAAACAACAATTTTTTCCGAAATTCAATGGTTTCATTGCATTTCATGTCACCATCATTTCAACCTTGAAGATCAAAGGAAAAATCATTATTTCAACCATTAAAAAAACCATTGCGCAACCATTACTTCACCCAATCTTTTCAACCCTTTTTACATAAAGTTGCAATGGTTTCGCAACCATTTTTGAGAAACCATTGCAAAACAATTACAACAATTACCCATTGAAATAAGCAGTTACAATTGATTGCAACCATTGATGGGGAACTGCAACTATTGCAACCATTAATCCTCAAAATGAACACTCATGGGCAGACCCGTGGCCAGTTTTTGCACTTTTGAAAAATTTCCAAGGGGATTACATTTGATAAGCATGGCATACACATGTATATAAAAATGAAATAATTTTTGGCCAGGGCGAACCCCCCCTTCTCCCCTAACACCCCTGTCTACGAGCCTGGAGGACAATGATAAGTTTTAAATGGTATCGGAAGTAAAGATGCTAAAAATAGCTCAGTTCACTTCTACATAACACATGATTTTCATATCGGAAATACTAGCACTTTCTCAATTAATCATTAGAGCCCTCTGATCTGGAATGCAGTACCCAGGCCTGTCAACTGTCCCGCAATTTGCGTATTTGTCACGCATTTGCTGAAGAATTTGAAGTCACGCCAATTATTTTTGCGTGACAAAAAATGTCACGCAAATACGCATTTTACCTGGTAATTGTCAAGCAAAAATATTTCTGTAGAAAAATTTTCTAAAAAAGATCGTCTACACATCAAAAATACGAACGCCGGAAAAAAAGTACGCATTCCGTTCGGACTTTTCACGCGAATTACGTATATGTCACGCATTCCGTTCGAAATTTTTCGTAGGGGAGGTGTTCAACATTTCCAAGTCACTCATGTTAGGTGTTCCCAAGTTGACAGGCCTGAGTACCCGATGACATTAGAATCTGATTCAAAAACATTTAAGGCGCATTTCAAATCCAATCTCTTCAAGCAATTATATTTAGCTTCATTGCTTCAAGTCAAATATACTTCATTATGTCTCTTTATTTCCCATTTTGCTAGCATCTTTAGACAAATCATGTATGAATCAATTGTTACTACATGCATGTACATAATTATGAGTCTAATCTGTTAGTATGATATTATTAGTATGTTTTAAGTTAATATGTCTGTAGTCTGCAGTCTATCACAATATTCTCTTATTAAAAAAATTCTTTTTGGACTTTGTGTGTCTCGGATCTTGTTCTCAATGACAAATCTGACGCCCGGGTCTGACGTTACTTCCAGAACAACAAAAAACATTCATTTATTTGTATATATCATTTAATCTAATCCCTAGGATTTTAAACACTTGTCTCTATGACCCCGCCAATCACTAATCAGGTATAGCTTTTAAGGAAAATGAAAAATGCGGAAATCTTGTTAGAAAATAAAGATTCTTTTTTGTTTCAATTCAAATTTGCTGGCTTATTTTCATTAATAAAATTGTAGAAATACAAGTTAAAATTTTACATTATTGAATTCAGATAAGGTACCAAGACAGAGCAGACAAAGCATAGGGAATCCCATTGAACAGAAATGGCTGGCATTTTACAAACAAAATATATACTAGCAAATATCGTAAAATAACACCCATAAGAAAGGCCACCATTTTCAAAATGGTTGCTCACTAGCCAAGTTGTCATCTGAAGAAGTAATATGCTTTTAAGTAGCCACATTTAAAATTTAAAAAAAAATTGCCTACACATACACGTACTGTAGATGCTGGCCATTTTTTAAAATGGCCCCCTACTACCCAAAATGTCATAAGAGTAAGACAGTATGCAATTCTTACGAGTATTCACATATCAAATATGAACAAAATCGCTCTATTACTCTTTGAATTATAATAAAAAATGTAAAATAACATACATAAAAATGGTGGCTATTTTTCAAAATGGCTGACTACTCCCTAAAGTTTTATTAGACAATGTGCCATGCTTAAAGTATTCACATATCAAATATGAACAAAATCGCTCTCATACTTTTGGAGTTATAGTAAAAAATGTAGAAATGACAGCCTTTTTTTAAAATGGCAACCTACTACTAAATATGAACAGAATCGCTCCACTACTTTTCAAGTTATAGTAAAAAATGTAAAAAATGGTGGCCATTTTTCAAAATGGCCGCCTACTACCCAAAGTGTCATTAGACAGTGTGCCATGCTTATAGTATTCACATAAAAATATGAACAAAATTGCTCTACTACCTTTTATGTTAAATACACGTAAAAATGGCCGCCTACTACCAAAAATGTCATTAGACATTGTGCCATGCTTAAAGTATTCACATACCAAATATGAACAGAATAGCTCCACTACTTTTCAAGTTACAGCAAAAATCGTAAAAAGACGTGCAAAGGCACGCAGCCAAGATGGCTGCCATGTATTTCTTCTGTATTTACATTTCTAGCTGAATCAATGTCCTATATAACTTTTTTACATTTAAAAAATATTGCTATTACAGTTTTATATGCAGTAGCTAAATTACTGTAAAATCGGCACTAAAATGGCCACCATTTTTAAATGAGCAGCAATTTTTCCACATTATATATAAAAGCAGGTTCCTCAGGCTTGTGACTAGGCATAGGTGGGTTTAACGTTTTAGGCCATGGAAACACTCCCCTTCCCTGCATGGATTTAATAAATAAGACATAACTGGGTCCCTGAACTATATTAACAAGTCTATATGAACGCTTCAGTGTACGGTATATTTTTATA